TATTCAAAAAGGTCCAAGCAAGCTCTAATTTTATTCTTTAGGTTGATCCCTGGCATAAAGACAGGCTACATATAACAAAAACGAAAATCAGCAAACTCTGGGGAAGGGGGACAATTTAATTTCCAGAGTTATTATTCTAGTAGATTTAAATAATGTCCAATTTTCAGCAACAACAGCAACAACAAAACAACAATAAAACCAACATAAGGCATAAAAGATGAGAAAGTATGGCCAATTCAAATTTAAAAAATCCAACGCTAACCATACTGAGTAAGATCAGATGGCAGATTGGTTAGAAAAAAACCTTAAGAAACTGTCTTTAAGCTGCTGAAGGAACTGAAGGAAGATGTGAAAATAATGTATGAACTAAATAGAAGTATCAATAAATAGAAAACCTAAAAAGGAGCCAAAAAGAAAAATACCCAAGTACAAATTTAACCAAGGAGATGAAAGATCTCTAAATGAAAAGTACAATAACTGAAATAAAAAAAATCACTACAGGAATTCAAAAGCATATTTGAGCAGGTAGAAGAAATAATCAGTGAGTTTTAAGATAGGTCAATTAAAATTGTTGAGTCTATGGAACAGAAAGAAAAATGATTATAGGAAAGTAAACAGAATCGAAGGGATCTACAGAAAACCATCCCGGGGACAGACATGCTTTGTGGAAATCTCAGAAGAAAGAGAAAACTGAGTGATTACTTAAAGAATAAGGGCTTAAAACTTCCTACATTAGATGACAGGATTGTAAATATCCAAGAAGCTCAGTGAACTCCAAGTAGGAGGAACTCAAAGATACCCACATCTGGGCCAGCCAGGTGGTGTGGTGGTTAAGGCAGCTGGATCGTACATGGCTGACTGTGTGGTTGGAATTCCAGACCTAGCAACTTGAAAAACACACCAGACACATGTGCATGTATGCCCAAAATCTTGATGGGGGGGAATGGAGGAGAAAGGATTGTGATGTTGTCATCCCGCTTGAGAGGTGATTTTTCACTTTTGCTGTCTCTGTCTCTCTCTCTTCTGACTCTGGAGAGCACATGTGTCCTATGGCAATTAAGAAAAATACCCACATCAAGATACATTATAATTAAACTGTCACTACCTCACTCTTATCATTGGACAGGTCATCTAGATGTTAAATGGCACCACAGAACATAAGGGGTTTGAGAGATAGTTATGGAACATTTCAC